CAGTTTATCCCTACCTAAACCTATGCCTGTACCTCTGCAGCTGTACATGAGGTGTGATTGAAAACGACAGTAAATGTTTACATTTTTTAAAAAGATTTGTAACCCGTCACCACGAGTCTCCCTCAAAATGTTCCCCTTGCTTCAAACACACTTAGCCCGTTGTCCTCGCTACTCTCTGAAGCGGTTCCGGAAGTCTTTTAAAAGCCTCTTTAGTTACACCACTGTGGCCACCTCCATGTCCTGAATCAGTTCCAAATCTTCAACTTTCATGGTTATTTGAGTTTGGGGAGGAACCAGAAGTGACCGGGAGGCAGAACTGGTGAGACAGCAGGTGAGGACGCAGCGCTGCTCCCCCAGGCCGCCTTCCTGGCAGGCCGTGCTTGCCGCAGCAGTGGCTGGATTGTAAATCGCACCTTGAGAAGACCCTCGGGAAAGAGGACGACCATAAGTGCTTCGGAAAGTGGTGGTAGCAGTGGGATAAAGGTGTTGGAAGTAAGTGCTGTGTAAATGTGCACATTGTTTTTGCTCTTGTGATCTTAAGTGGTAGAGGACTGTCAGCACCTAACTCTAGTGCCAGAGGTAAACTAAGGCGGAACAAACCAGCACATGCTGAGTCTGTCTGCATCTGCTGGACACACAGGAGATAAAAAGATAAGCATTTCATGGATGTCACACTGAAGAAGCTCAATAGAAGGAGGCAGGTGGGAAGCAACTGTACAGCAATGGAAGGTCCAGGTGGCCCATACTGAGGTGGTCCCAGAGGGAGGATTGCCTTGAAGCTGGCCTTGAAGCAGAAGGAGGAGGGACGGGAGGTCTGTGGGCTCCGTGAGCAGCACAGCAAAGGCCCTGAGCCAGCAGAGAACCAGAGCCAGGCATAGTCACAGAACCGCACACATCAGCCTCAGCAGGAGGACACGGAGCCAGACCTCTCGGTAGGGAATCCCCAAGTGCACACGGCAGGGACAAGATTGTTAAGATCGGGAGTGGGGAAAGCTTCGGGGAGGACTGTGTGACGTCGTGCCCAGGTGTGAGGGTGATGGGAAGTTTGTGAGAGACTCAGACAGGAGCGGCAAATGCCCAGGCCCCGGGGTAGAGGGGGCCTGGTGACTGGGCCGCGAGAAGCCCGAGGAAAATGCATATAAGATGCATCTGGGGAGGCTGAGGGTCTTGGGACCTCATGGAAAGTTTTAGGCTTTTTTCCCAAGGCCCCTGGAAAGTGTCTGGGAGAGGACAGCAGGCACATGGTACTTAGTTGACAGTAGCCATGGTCACATGTTGGCCATGTCCCTCAGCACTTGGGACTGTGGGTACCCACCTGCTGGGACATGGTGACCCCACCTTCCCCTGCTCTGAGTGAGTTTGAGAAGGATGCACCATATACACGGGTCACGTGATGTGTCCAGCTCTGGTCCCTCCTTAGGACTAACTGATGCCTGTTTTGTTTTGTTTTGCTTTTGTTTTTTGGTCTCTTTAAGACAGGATTTTGCTATGTAGTTCAGGCTGGCCTTGAACTGATTTTATAATCCAGGCCAACCTTGAACTAGCAGCAATCCTCCTGCCTTAGCCTCTCAAGTGCTGGAGTGATGGCTATGCGCCACCACACCTGACCTAACTGAAGGTTTTTAAAAAGTCAGCTCAGATTCTGAGCAGGGAGCTGTGATTCTGCCTCCTGTCCACAGAAGCACAGCCCAGGGACAGTGGGTAATTCCCCTTCTGTCACTGATCTCAAGAGCGAGAGACCTGCAAGCTGCCCAAGCAGGGTCCCCTATCTCTGCATTTGGCCTGGTGATGCCCATCGAAAACCGCTTTGTTGCGTTTTGTTGGTATTTGGGGGTCGTAAGTCTCTGAACAGAGTAGATTCCTGAGCATGAAAACCATGAGCCAACAAGAGAGCAGAGATCTGCTTGGGAGTCAAGCCTTTGGGAAAGATGGACTTGATGTCATTTTTAGGAAATCTGTTCCCTGGCTATGTTGGTTGGGTTGGTTTGGTTTGATCAGAAGCACATGACAGTTGGACTCTGGGGAAGAAATGAGCACTTTGGAACTCTAAGTCCCTTCCTGTGGCCAGGTTTCGCTCCTCCTGGCCCCAGGCAGGTGGGGTGAGGAAGGTGAGAGAGGCAAGGCCAGTCCTAGGACACAGCGCCACATAGGGGCACCCTGTGACAGAAGGGAGCGTAGGTAGCCTGCTGGGTCCTGGGCAGGGAGGAGGGACCTTTTCCTCTGAAATTCTGAGAGGGTGACCCGCCACCCCCAAACCACTCACTTATGTTCCTAGCTAATCTGTCCCCTGCTGAGCATTTCAGACAAATTATTTAACCGCCCGAGGCATGCTGGTCCATACCTCACAGGGTCAGTGTAAGATGAGCAGGTTGGCACCCAGAACGATGCCTGAACCATACCACATTTGTGAGCCAGTAAATGTGCAACATGCCTGTGACAAGTGCTCTGAGGGCCAGTGAGGCAGAGTAAGGGGACAAGAGTGTGGGCAGCCTGGGGACAGATATGATGGCGTAGAAATGGAGACTTGGAGCGGGACCAGGCAGGAGAGAGGAGGAAGAACACCCCAGGTAGAGAGGATTGCAGTGCTGAGGGAGACGGGGCAGGACAGGGCGCTCAAGGGACAGCAAGCAGGCTGGCCATGTGGCCGGTCGGAGGGAGGGGGGCCGGAAGTGAGGGGCAATGAGTGGGGATCACCTACTCCTGGTGATGGGAGTCTGGTTTCGGGGGCTGAGTGGGGTGGGAAGTGACCAGTGAGGGTGCAAGCTGAGGGGTGATGGATCCAGCAGGTCTCAGAAGGCTCCCCTGACCATGGCTGCACAGGAAACACTGGTAGATGACCCAGGCAGAGAAGACCCCAGAGACACAGTGACTTCCCTGGCCCTCTGTCCCCCGCAGGCTTCTACAGGGCAGGAGGTCTGGTTTTCCTGACAACCAGAACACACCTTCCTCCTTCAGCAAGGCATCTCCAGGGGCCTTCAGGGGACCAGAGAGGGTCCCTACCCCACAGTCAGGCTTGTGCACGTGTGTGTGTGTGTGTGTGTGTGCTGGTGCATGAATGTATTTTTGTGTGCACAGGCATGTATTCGTGTGTCCGCATGTGCATGCATATGTAGATATATGTGTGTATCTGTGAATGTGGGTGTGTATCTCTGTGTATGCATGGGTGTGCATGAATGTATACACACACGTGCATGTGGCAATTTGCATCGCCAGGGCTGATGCAAATGCCTGGTGTGGGCCAGCTTACCCTGCCTCACACCAGGGCCACAACCCCAAATCTGTGCGTCAGCCCAAGAATCATGAAGACAGTCAGCCGCTCCGTGGTCACTGGCTGCCACTGTCCCCGCTGTGCTGCCACGGGTACCACTCATGGCCCACACTGCTCTTGCCCCCAAAAGATCTTGACCTCAGGCTCTTTCTAAACCAGGTGGCACTGCCAGTCACCCCTGGCAAGCGAGGTGATGGGTACCTGCTTCCCTGGGCCACAGTCTTCCGGCTTCCCCCACCCCAGGTACTTTGATTCTGTGACTCCAGCTGGCCTCCACTTACCGGGCCAAAAAAAGAGAGGGTAAGAGAAGGTGGATGTCATCAAAGCACAATATATGCATTTTGGCAATGTCACAATGAAAGCGGTTAACTCTACGATTGACGTGCGTTAGTGGCCATCATTTTTGAAAAGAAAGAGCGGAGGAAAGTGCTTGCCTGAGTCCAATAGGCTGTGCTCAGGCGGGGCCCCTGGTGTCACCCGAACACAAGACCAGGTGGTCCCTGCCCAGGGAAGGAGGAGGAGGCCCCGGGCAGGTGGGCCAAGCTCTCTGACCCTCGGGTAGCCCTTTGCTGCCCATACCCTGAGGATGTTGTGAAAACTAAGTTACAACATGCGTGCACGTGTTCTTCCGAGTGTGTGAAGTGCCCTGCGTGGACAAGGGGAGGTGATGATGACAGTTTTGTTCTGCTGACTGCTTTTCACTTACCTGAAAGTTCTGGCGTGGCAGGATTCCGTCCTGAGGTTCCACAGCCTCAAATTCAGTGGTCCTGTCAGTGCTGACCACCAGGCAGGGGTGGAGCCTGAGAACAGACAGGGTCCTGAAAGTGCCTTGCGGAGCAAAGAATCACATGGTGGGTGACCGTGGTCCAGTTCTAAGACGCCCGGCCCTACTGCACCCCAGGCCAAAGCTCAGCCTCTCCCATGCTGTCCCCGGGGCATCTGCCAAGCATGGATTTGTGCTGCAGTGCCAAGCAGGTGGACACAGAAGAGGCCCAGTGTCAGGGTAACCCAGCTCTGAGGTAACTGATCCAGTGCCGCAGGCCCCACCTCACCCTTGAGAGCCCTGGCCCAGCCTCTTAAGAAAGACATTAACTCGTTGATGAGGGTGGAGCCCCAGGGTCCAAGCATCTCCTGGAAGCCAGCAGCGTCACACGGGACTCACAGTTCAGCACATTAAACCACAGCAACATTGTGCACGTGTGTGTTGATGTTTATTGTGATTTTTCCCAAAGAGGCGAAGCATTTGGCAGTCGACGACTGTGATGCAGCCACACAGGGAGACTCCGGAGGCCAAGACACAGGGTTAGGGGACTTCATCCTGCAAAGGCAGACAGAGCCTCGCACGCAGGCTCAGAGGAAGAGCTCAGGCGGTGGTGCCAGGGCCTGGGCCCAGAGGAGGTGGGAGGTCAGGTCCCTGACTCTGTCACAGTCAGAGAGGAGAGGAGGGAGGAGAAGAGAGGCAGAGGAGGCAGAGGAAGATGGGACCTACGGAAGTGGGGAGAGGCACGGTCAGAGGAAGGCACGGTGGGACAGGAAGTGGGCACTGTCTCCCCGGAAGACCAGCTCTCTGAGGGGGACCTGGGTGTGCATTCAGACTCCCCAAGGGCAGGGCTTCTGGACTCCCCAGGGCAGGGAGGTCTCCTCCAGCCAGACCTTCCGTGGTGGGAGAACCCACCACACCCCGGGCCAGGCCTCCAGCCTGCCTGACTCTGCTTTCCTCTTCTCCCCCCAGGATTCACAGACACCTTCAACATGGACACCAGGAGGCCGCGGGTCATCCTGGGCCCCAAGGCCGCCTTCTTTGGCTACACGGTACAGCAGCATGACATCGGTGGCAAGAAGTGGTGAGTAAGAGCGGGCACCCACACCCGCTCCCAGCCTGAGCCCGGTGCCTGGTGCAGCCTCAGGGTGCTGGGGACTGAGCCCGCATCCCAGTGCTCTGCTGAGTCCTCACCTGGCCAGTTTCCCGAGCCCTGCACCTCCTTGTCTGGGAACAGCACCTCTTCTGGATCATGTGACAAGGACAGCAGGCGGCTCTTGTACCCCCTGGGATTCTGCGCCTCATCAGGGGGTGGCACTTCTGCTCATGCCCTGTTGGAGACCAAGTTGGGGGTGGGAAGATCGCCATGGCTACTGACCCCCAAATGCTTTGCCTCTTGGGGAAAATCACAATATCCACACACAGGTGTGTGGCACTGCCCTAGCTTCCGTGGGCTTCGGCCCCAGCAAAGCTCATGCTGAAATGTGACTCCCAGTATGACGGTGTTGAGGGGTGGAGAGGCCATTAGGAGATGGGTAGGCCCTGGGGCTCCACCTCATGAATGGATTAATGTCTGTCTTAAGAGACCAGGTTAGGGCTCTCAAGAGTGAGGTGGGTTTTATGGAACTAGAGCAGGAGAATCAGAAAGAGGAGGGGTCTCCCTCCAGTGTCTAAAAACAACTTTGTTGAAACATATATCATCATATAATTCATTCATGTCAAGTGGGCAAGTCAGTGATTTTTAATTTACCAAGTTATGCAACCATCACCACAAATCAGTCTTAGACCACATGCACAACCCCAGGCTGACTCCTTGTGCCCCTCGACCAAAAATCCCTGTTCTCCTGTCTGACTGGTTTTTTAGCAGCAGGAAACAAGGTCCTGTTTCTTTCCTGGGATAGAAAGAACCAGGCTTGTGCTTTGGCCTGTTGGAAGCCTGTATGAGTCCATTTTTCTGTGGATATAACAAAAAAACTGAGGCTGGGGCTTTTAGAAAGAAAAGAGGTTTATTTAGTTCATGGTTTTGGAAGCTGACAGTCCCAGATTGGGTGGACTCAAGGCAACAGGTGCTAGAGATGTCACACAGTAACACAGAAAGCCACACAGCATCAGCAGCAGGCTTACTGCCATTGCTCAGTCTCATAAGAACTGATTCCACACCCCCAGGAACCTCTCCTGAAGGCAACAACTGGTGACCAATTACCCTGCCCTGTGTCCCACTTCTTTCTTTTGTCCTGGAATTGAACTCAGGACCTTGTGCTTGCCAGGCAGGCACTGTGCCACTGAGCTATTTCCCTGGCCTGTCTGACTTCTTAAAAGTCCCTACCTCGTCACCTTGTCATTGAGCTACATCCCTCGCTTTTTTCTATTTTTTCTTTGAGACAGGGTCTTACTAACTTGCTCAGGCTGGGCTGGAACTCGTAGCTTACAGATGTGAGGCACCTGGCTGTCTGGCATCTTCTCTCCAACACTGTGTCTGCGAAAGCACCGTGCTCCACACCCTCCATGATCCCGTGATCACGAGATCCCGCGATCCTTTGTATTGCTACACCACGGTTTTCTGTTTGCAATTGAACACCAAGGTCACTTGGGATGTCAGGAGCTACCGCTAAAGGAGATGCTGCCGACGCTCTTGGGAACAGACACACGTCTTCATTCTTGTTTGTACTCGAGGGTAGAAGTGCTTGGATGAATCATAGGTATATGATTAACTTTAGTAACATTTGCCAAGCATTCTTTCCCCTCAGCACTTCACCAGCTGAAACTCGCTCTAGTAAAATAAGAGAGTTCCAGTTGTCCGACGTCCTCACTAACCCACAGTACTGTCAGTCACTTTAATTGCAGCTGTTCCTGGGTGTACAGTGGATTCTCATTGTGGACTTTGCTTGCATTTCTCTACTGATGATGTGGAACAACTTTGGTGAATTAATTGGCCATTTTGATACTCATGTTTTGTGGTTTTATTTGTTTTTCCATAGTGTGTCATCAGGTCTTCTGTTCACTTTTTAAATAATGTTGTGTGTCTTCTTGTAGATTTGTAGGACAATAAAAATCTGTAGTCAGGCCTGGTAGCACATGCCTGTAACCCAGCGCTTGGAAGGCTGAGGCAGGATCTCTGGGAGTTCAGAGCTAACCTGCACTACATAGTGAGACCCTGTCTCAAAAAGAAAAAAGAAAAGTCTGTTCTGTATACAGGTCCTTTGTTAGAAATATCGCAATCTCTCTCCCACGGTCTACCTTGCTTTTTTGTGCTGTTAGTGGTAACTCTGATGAACAAAGGTGCTTAATTTTATCAAGGTCTAACTCAGTCATCTTTTATGGTTACTGACTTTTGTGTGTCCAATTTAAGAAGTCTTTGTGTCTCCCAAAATCATAAAAATATGGTCCTATGTTTTCTTCAAGAAGTTTGGTGCTTTTTCTTTCTCATTAAAATCAGTGACTCAGTTGCCTCTCTGTCTCTCCCTCCCTCTGCCTCAGTGGTAGGGCAGTGGGGATTGAATCCAAGGCCTTCTCACTGAGGTACGTCTCAGCCCTGAAAAAAGATTTTTTAAATTAAAATCAAGGTCTCCCTCATCACTAAACTGCCCAGGATGGACTCACGTTTGCAGTTCCTGTGCCCCCGTCTCTCGGAGTGCTGGAATTACAGGCATGTACCACACGCGCCCAGGCACCTGACCACCTCCTTCAGTTTTGGGGTAAGAAGTAAAATAAAGAGCACAGGTTTTAAGAACGTGGATACTCACTTGACTTGGCACTGATTTGTTATTGTTGTTGTCTACGTTTTAACTTTATACTGCTACATGTTTGTAGGACACATGATTACATTCATTATGGGAGCTTATAACATCCTTCAATTTTTAGTCCCTCTTCCCTTCTTGTCCCCTCCCCTCCCGCCTCTCTCCCTCATCTCTTTATCCCTTTCTCATGTACAAAAATTCTATTTTTGTTTTTATTTTTTATTTTGAGATATGATCTCACAAAATTGCCAGGTTGCCCAGAGTGTGTTCAGATTTATGATCCTCCTGCCTCAGCCTCCCAGAGTTCTGGGATTATAGGCTTGACACTGTTTCTCCCCACACACAAAACTCTAGTATTGTGTTTGTTAAAAATGGGGTGACCATATACATGTGGGTCTGTTTCTTATCTCTGTTCTGCTTGTCTATTGATTTAAATTTACACCAAAAAACAAATCCTTGTCACTGTAGCTTCAAACAGGTCTTGAAACAAACAAACAAAAAAAAGACAAAAACAAACAGGTCTTGAAGTCAAGCAGTATGAGTAGTAGGTTTGTTTTTCCTTGAAAATATTTTGTTACCTACCCGAGGTCTTTAGTTCCATATGAATCTTAAAACCAGCTTATCAATTTTCCCCCAATAAAAACGTGCTAAGATTTTGATTTGAGTTATACTGAATTTTATAGACTAGTGAAACCTTAATATTATTTGAGTCTTCCAATCCATGAACGTGTATATCCCCCTCATTCAGCTGTTAAGATTTCTGTCAACAGTGTTTTAAAGTTTTCATTGTAAATGTCTTGGATATTTTTTCTTGCATTAATTTCTATATATTTGTATTTTATTCTGTTAAAATGAAATGTTATTTCCTTTACCAATCTTTTTGATTCTACATAAAGATACAGTTGATTTTGTATATTTATTGTTTATTTCACAACTTTTCTAAAGTCGTTTCTTTCTAATAACTTGCTGGTGGATTTTTTGGATTTCCTGTGTATGCAATCAGATCGGGTGAAATAATTACAGTTTTTCTATCTTCTAACCTTCAAATCTTTATATTTCTGCCTAACTGTGATGGCTGAAACTTTCAGTGCAAAGGTAAATAGAAGTGGTGAAACCTTTCTTCTATTTCCATTATTAGAAGAAATTTTTCTGGTGTTCCATGATTAAATAATTAGATTCATCTGTTTGTTGTTAAGTATCTTCCGATGAAAGAAGTGTTTTTCTATTCCTAATTTTCTGGGGCTGGTTTTACAAAAGTTGTGAAGAGCTATTGAGCCTGATCAGATGTTCTTTTCTGGTTAGTTTGCAATAATTGAGATGACTCTGTGGTTCTTCATTCTGTTAATGGTATTAATTATATTTAGTGATTAGTTGAGATGAGGCTGTTACTGTGTGTTTGCTTTGTTTTTAGTATGTAACCAACTTGCCTCCTGTAAGTGTGATGGGCAATCTTCACTGTCCATTTGATTAGGTAGGAATTAATAAAGCACACGGCTGGATGTTTCTGTGGATGTTTCCAGCAGTGATCAGATCCTGAGTGCTGTCCTGCTGTCTCTGCTTCTGGCTGCCATGAGCCGAGCAATTTCTCTCCCCGATTCCTTTTCCACCCTGCTGTCTCTGCCTTGGAGCAGATTGCCATGGACTGAACCCTTTGCTGCCATGAGCCAAAATACACCTTCCCTCTGCTAAGTTGGGGATGTCAAGTATTCTGTGTCACTGATGGAAATGTGACCAACACATTGGCATAAATGTCACTTGTTGGCCATGTGGTCTCTCATGCATACTTAAGAATTCTGTTTTTATGAGACACTTTGTTCCTATTTTGTTCTGGGGAGGTGTGTTTTCATTTTGTAATACATTTGTCAGGTTTTGGCATTAGTTATTCAGACTATAAAATGTGTTGAAAAGTGTTCTCACTTTTACTGTTTCCTGGTAGAACATATGGTTTGTATTATTGCTTCTTTAAATGTTTAGGGAAACCACTAGTACAGCATCTGGAGTTTTCTTTGTGGAAAGATTTTTAATTACAGATTCAATTTCTTAAAGATAATGGACTCTTCAGGTTTCCTATTGTTTCTTAAGTTTGGTAACTTGTGTTTGTAATTTGTGTATAAATTTGTAATTTGTGTTTATAAGTAATATGTCTATTTCATTCAAACTTTATTGACCAAATATTACTTATTGGCCTCCTGTTTTTCCCTAATGTTTGCAAGAGCAATAGCAATGTCTTCATTTTTAATTTTCTTTATTGGTAATTTGTGGTGGTTTTTCTTTGTAGTGATCAGTCCTGTGAGTAAATCAATTTCATTAATATTTTCTAAGAATCAATTTTGGGTTTATTGATTTT